CTTTGTGCGATCGCCCTTACCGAAATAGTCCTATGAAATTCTAGTTATTGTGCATTTTTAACAAGAAATAAGCGGAAGTAAGGACGGCGCGGTCGCAAAATCGCTCCTGTCCCACGAGGTGCAAAATGCCAAAACATGCGATGTCGTCAACGTGTTAATTGCCATTTTCCAATGTAACATTTTGATCAGTAAGCTTTTCCGAGCATGAAAATATCTTCTATTGGAATACTGGTGAAATTACTGCTGAATTATTGGTTACTGACAAAAAAGGTGACAAGAACTTATGGAGCTGCACACATAACGGCGGCCCGTAATGGATTAATCGGTACCAGAGCTCGTTGAACGGATTTTCTATTATGCTCTATGTCTATGACTGTATCTAAGCATATATAGGTTGTCCCATAATTAGTGAATCACTTTACATTTATTGTTATTGAAAATCCAAGAAAATTGGTGAAGGCGTGAAACATGTTTTGCGAAGTAGCATCCATATTATTCCACCTGAGCAATTACTCAGCCCATTTCCGTGCTGCCTTCCGTGACTGACATTTCAATTTTCTGGAACCTATTTTTGTGCTCCCTTCTTAATCACTTCTGATTAGGATCTTTCAAATGCCCAACAACATAGAGAATTGACCAGCAGATAGGCGGGGGCACGCTCCCTCAATCCGCGGTCTACTTGTAATTCACTCTATCGAGAGGTTGGCTTTTTGAGTTGAAGATGACCCACACTTCAACTACCCCTCAACTGGCAATCTCACTGCTGTATCCAGCGCCACTGAGCGTGGATATGGACAAAGTAGTAGCTGTTTGCAAGAGCATGCCCGACTTGTTAAAATGATGGAGTGTAAACATCTAAGTAGAGTTGTAAAGATTTCAAAATATTTAGTTTGTATCTTAGATGCTCTGAGCCCGACAGCTCCGCACACGATCTGCCACCATAATGTTCCTTGCGATCTCCCTTAGTTCCTTACAGTGATCATCCAGCATATTCACCACGGTTCTGAACTGGGTGAAGTGCACTAGCAAATCTCCAAGGAGCAGTAGCCTAGCGTGAACGATTCGGGAATTCTGACAGCAAAAGCCAAACCTCCTTTTAGTCCGACCCTTCAGAGATGTTGGTGGAGCACGAGAGTGACCATGCGCTGGGAACCGCCGCCCAGTTATACCAGGGCCACTATAGAAGATCAACATCTACAGCGTAATGGTGACGCATTCAATTTGAAAGTAAAGCAAGACAAAGTCTGCTTTTTTCCTGACAAGGGAAGGATGGTAGGTCGAAGTGGCCGTTCAAAATGGTATGTATACCACCTGATGCGTCTCCAGACGCTGATTCCAAATCTGCCTTCCAAATCTGCTAAACGATTTTCATAACGAAGTTATGAAGCGAAATACAATAGCTCAGTGGTGATGGTCCGGGCTGGCAGTTGAAGGCTCGTAAGTTCGGTTCCTTTGCGAGTTTGTTGCTTTGCTTTTGTTTGCAACACTTCTAGGGACAAAAGCAAAGCAACAAACTTGCAAAGGAACCGATCCTATGAGCTCTTACCAGAGAGCCCGGATCATCACCACTGAGCTATTACGCTTCATAACTCCGTTGGGAGAGTCGTTTAGCAGTTTTAGAAGGCAGATATGGAATCAGCGTCTGGAGACGCATCAGGTGGTACACATCTCATTTCAAACGGCCACTTCGACCTACCATCCTTCCCTTGTGAGGTTGTTCGACCCCACCTTGCGGAGAATATTCATAAGAACTTGGAGACTCTCAGGCTAGCCGTTCATTCACTTCCTCTGTGTGGCCCTAACCTCGTGCCAGCAAGAGGCAGCTCATCAGTCTGACCTCTAGCGCTCCTCACCAGGAAGAAATTTTATGCTAAGCGCATGGCCTCAAACTCGACTTCCGATCTTTCTCCGATCAATCCTGGAATTCTAAAGATAAGACAGGACAGGGGTCTATGTTAGGATGAGCAAAGACTCCACATGAAAAAGAAAAAAAATTGAATTTAGAAACATCCAAAGTAATTCACTAATTATGAGACAACCTAATAGTAGGATTTCGATTAAAAACGAGTAGTGGTACTGAGGAAAGGACACTCATACGCCTTCCTTGCAATGGAAGCTAATAACATTACCAATCTAGTGTTAGCTTTTTTCTTAGCAGTGTGCAGTACAGATGAGTGCGGGGGAGGGTCGTATGGAGACTCTCCAAGAGGGGGGGGGGGTTGTAAAAATTTTGAAATCGGTCCAATCCGGTTGACCTTGGTAGGATGGTGCGACGTGGATTTTCGAATTTGGCTCAATGGACTTCGAATACTTGACTTTCAGGCTGAATTATATCCGACTGCCCCATGCTTCATCAACCGATGGCTTTTGAGCTTCCCTCCTTCCTCCACCAATTCTTCGTGATCGTCAACTAATTTACCGTTTTTCCTGGCTTCGGACTGCCTCCGGACCGATTTATGAACCTCGTGGTAAACTCCGTCTATTTCTTTCATGTACCACCTACCATTTTCTTCCTCGCCAACCTCTTCCCACTTTTTACCCGATCTCTGAATTATGTCTGAGCCGATTTATAATTTTGATGGCGAATCCTGTTTTTGGTGTATCCACCACACAACATTAGAAATTGACTTCCTTTCCTTCGCTCACTTCTCTCCCATTCTCCAGCAATTCCTGCAACTGAGTCACAAAGTTTGTGGATAACTCCGCCTATCTTGGAAATGTCCCGCTCACTAACAGCAGTTGGGCTCCATTCCTTCACCACCTCTATCCTCGCTTTTCGCGGTCTCCGAGACATCTTGGAATCGAGTGATTAATTTCCGTCGCAAATTCCGCCCACTTTGGACATGCCCCGCCCACCGATGAGAGTGGCCTACACTCCTTCACCCACCTCCCACCTTTTTCCGGCTCACTAAAACTTTTCCAGCACGAATTATGAGAAATTGTAGAAAACGCCGCACACTTCAGAGCGCGCTCCGCCCATTGTGGGCGGACCTCCGCAAACGTCGTGTATGCTGGGAGCACCTTTGACATTGCTCCCCTACACCGATTTGTTTTCTGCTCTGTGGACTTATGAAATTTTCATAAAGCACTACTTTTCGAAGAACGCCCCACCCCCCCCCCAAGTGTGGGTCTCCCTAATTCGATGTTATTTACAAAGGCACACCTTTACCCACGTTTTGGTCCAGTTCTGAGGCTGTTTTGTCCCTGAGATCTTGGTCGTCGGTGCAGTTCATTTCGATGCAAGCCACTCCCACCGTTGGAGGACCAGGGCTCCGCTTAGCTGATGTGTGTTTTGTACTTCGTGAGACCTTGTCCACCCGTCCCACACTTGACCCGGTCCCTCCGAGGAGCTATGGAATTTCGTGCCAGACATACGGAACGACAGACAGAACGACACACAGAACGACAGACGGAGCGCTTTTTAGTATGTAAGATAGTGGGATGATTGTCCAAATAACGTGCGCTCGTAGTTGACTGCAAAAACACCTCGAAGACGATGAGTTGAGTGATATTTTTTTGGTACCTGTTGGATTTGAAGATGATGCAGTACCTAGGTAATACTTGGCTGTCCTTCACGTAAGCTTACGATGACGTTACGACGGTTGTTTGTTGGAATAAAATACTTCAAAAAATCGACCAGGAACGATTCAGGACATTAGACCTGTCGGTGTTGTAAATTAATAGAGTCTATTCGAGTTTTTTTTCTTATTACACTTTCGTAGGGAACACTTGGCTAGCATCGTAAGCCAAACAAGTTATCTGAAAACAGCTGATCAACTCATCCATTAATCCCCTCTCAGGAACCGACGTGAGAGTATGTCTGTGGCTAGCATAAACCCGCATGATGTGTGAAATTTCCAGCCCAAGGTATTTGCAACTGTGCCTGGCTTAGGGCAGATGACTACCCGTTAGGGGTATTTTTCCAGCCAATTGTAAATTAAACCAAGAAGTCACACCTGGATGGTAAATCGACGTATCCGATGTGCACAACGCCATGCTTTGTGTAACACTCGCCTGGTTTTGTAGTCTCGATGTTACCACCGGCTTCAGCTGCCAGATCGACAACGACGCTACCAGGCCTCATAGAACGAATCATCTCCTGTACACGAGTTTGAGCAAAAGCATGTTCAATCGGGAATAATATAATACAAAACAAAGCCATGAATAGTTGAACGAGTTTGTTCACCCTCAATTTCAAGAGAAATTCGGAATGACTTGAACAGAGAAAAAGTTCAGAGAACCTCTGTGATCAGACGTGGTGCCCGCTTTCCTGGGATGAGGGCAGTTGAAATTATGATATCAACTTCCTTGCACTGCTTAGAAAACAAATCCATTTCTGCCTAAAGAGGTAAGATAATCAATCGAATTTCAAAATGATATAAAACACAAAACTATACACAGAGGAAAACCTACAGAATACTAACCTGCAGAAACTCTTTGCTCATCTCTTTGGCGTATCCGCCAGCTCCTTCGCCCTCTTCTCTGATGTTGATGGTAAGGAATTCTCCTCCTAACGATTGAATTTGCTCTCGAACTGCTTCTCGAGTGTCAAATCCACGAACTATGGCTCCCTGAAATAAGGACATCCCTCTCGCGCTGTCAAATATTCTACATAGTTAACCAAAGTCGGTTCAACTAGTACTGCTCAAGAATTCCACGAGGTGAGAAAGACCTATGAACATTTGCGTTGTGCGTTCCACCCAGTTCTGCCATGGACATGTTTGCCCATACAGTAGACTAATTAATACTATTAAATGTGACGATATACTGAAACAAGGCTTCCCTCTTTTTTGCACATGAAAAACCTTACGTAACAAGTGCACAACCCATTAACAGGTATGGTCTCACCACAGTTGCAGAAGCCGCTCTTGCTACGTGTACAAACTTTGGGATAAGATGTGAGTTAGATTGAGAGGTCATACTTACAGCAACCTAAGAATTGCTAATTAGTATCGCTTTTGTCTGAAAGGATGAAACTAAGGATGGAACTCTCCAAAGCACAGTTAGATTGCATGGAACAAACAGTTATGGCAACGACAACTTCATCCCTAATAAGAAAGACGATCTGTATGCTGTACGAATCGAGCAATGTTTGGCACTCATCATCATCATTTTGCTACATAACTATTAAAACGGATCAATAGTACACTGAAAATTCAAAAAAAAAACTCATGTTTCCCATATACCGATTGAAGCCCAATTCGCTGGAACTGCTTTTGCCTGCTACTTTACGGCATTAAATTTCCTTCATACTCGTATCCCCTCCTTTCACAATCGAATATTTTAAAATTTATTTTTTACCCGCAAAATCTCCAAGAACACTTCTTAGTGAAAATTGTCATAACTCTTTCGGAGAAAGATGTCCGAAGATCAAGTTGAGACAACTTATTGGGTGAAGCAGGAATCACTCACCATTCCTCTGGCAGTTCCTATGGCACTGAGACCAGCAACACCTCCTCCAATAACCAACACCTTAGCTGGTGGGACCTATAGGTTACAAAAATCATCATTCTGATTAAAAAACGAAGATAGCTTTCTGAAAATGAGGTTTTTATAGTTTTGAGTCAGCGGAACCTTTCCAGCGGCTGTGATTTGTCCTGTGAAAAATCGCCCAAAATGATGGGCAGCTTCAACTACAGCACGATAACCAGCGATGTTGGCCATTGATGATAGAGCGTCAAACACCTGAATCGAATTCTGAACTTTTTAGGCCCAAAGCACGTTCGTAATCATAAGAGCGCAAGGTCGAGAAAATTAGAAAAATGTACAAAAAACTCGTTCTAACGAAATTTCCTACAAAAAGTTGGCAGCTCTGAAGATTACTACCTGAGCTCTGGATATTCTAGGGACACAATCCATTGCGATCAGGTTCAACTTCTTCTTTGCTAATTCATCAACAATAGGTTTATTAACAGCAGGATAGACGAACGAGATCAATGTAGAATTGTCCTTCAAGAGCGGCGCTTCACTGATCGACGGTGGCCGAACCTGTGAGAAAGAGCAATCGCTCAGAGCACAGCTTACGCGTGTTGAAAACTGATATATTCGAAAGCATTAAAGAAATATAAGATAAATCGTTTGTGTGTACCTTGAGAACAATGTCGGCCTTGAACGCTGCATTTTTGTCCACAACCTTGGCTCCCTGTCTTGCGTACTCCTCATCTGACCAGCGAGCCTCTGCTCCAGCACCCTTTTCTACCTGCAATAAACAGATTTTCAAGCTCAGTAACACATTTGCTACTATCAATGAATCTATGACTGGATTCTTCACCGGCTGGCCTGTCGACCGCCTGGCACTCATACTCGACAAACCTTTTTGAAGAAGTGGGTTTTGCTTTTGTATGGTAGGAACTCGTTGCCCTCTAGAAAGCGGGCGCTAACCTAAAATTCTAACCAAAGCTGTCGAAACCAGGTCACTTTTGATTTCTGCATGGGCAATTGCGTCGTTTGTAACGCTATAAGTTGCCACCCACGTGTAGTCAAATGTAGTGAATGTACCAATTTGCTGAAAATTTCATCCATTCCGTTAATCTGCACAAAAGCAATTAGAATGCTGTCAAGAACTATTCAAGTCAACAAAAAAGGAGACAGATGGTACACAGAGGCCAGAGGCAGCGCAGCTGGCACGGTCGAATCTGCTCAATGCAAAGGAATCATCTATCTAGTTTTGAGCGAAGAATAAACATCAGGAAGGACAGAAACCCTGATCCAGGGATCTAGCTTGCGTATCCAAACTGCGACATAGCATGGCTACGCCCACACGTAATAAACTGAAGGGTTAAAATTTCCTTCTGTTCGTCTCCAGTTATGAAATTTGAATGACCTCCTAGATCATTTGCTTGCGCTCCCTTCCCCTCATTCATTTCGTGACAATTGCGCGCAAAGTATAAAATTCTATTGACTTTCACCAAGCACTTTCTGTATATTTACATGAAACGGTAAGAGATAAGACACTCCAAAGTTTTTACCAGGCTAGCGAAATCGCATGCAGTACAGTAGGCCCCATTTCGATAGCCTGTTTCATACACACGCTGTCCAAAGTGTAACACGGAATCACTCCTTGATAAGGGAATATGACTCTCGCAAAAGAAATTTATCCGGCAGCTTGATATTTATTTTCACTCGTCCCATTGCTGACGAACTCCAGGACCCGAATTACCAGCCTGTAAATTCAGGCAACCCCACTACCGCGAACGCTGCAGTTAATTCCATCGCTCCACATTAGAAGTGGATGAACGTACTCTTCAAAAGCACATATGGCAAAATATACGTATTGATCGACGTTCTGTAGATTACCCTCCACCCGATCAGCAATATCAATTTTTGTTTGCACAAATCACTTTCATGTTATTTGTCAAGAAATCCACAATGAGAAGAGAATAAAACAGATCGTAATTGAAAAGATTCGTAGCTAACTATGCAACAAATCACCAGAACTTCCCAATTCTAGGCAATTAGCACTTGAAAACATCACCCCTAAATTAGTAGTATAGTGACAAAGAGCTCAGCAAATCAGGCAGAAGGTCTAGTGATCAGAGTCGGTATCTCCCCTGGCCAGCCGATCTTCCATCTCTACAGGATCATTTCATTGGTAGCGAACTCATCTAGAAGGATAAAATCCTTGATGTGAATAAAGGCTCTCTCTTCCCCCCCCCCCCTCCAAAGTAATTGTATAGAGAAACCGCACTTGAATATGGAACTGAAATGTATAGCGTACTCAGAAATGGTTAGGTCGACGACGGACGCTTCACCTTTAACAAAAACATATTTTGGCGCAAGTATAGGTGGAAGATCGAGCCGGTCTGATAGTCAGACTTCTTCGCGAAAGCTCTGAACGAAAGGAATGAAACTTTGTGTTCCTCGAGCGAGGAGGGTCCAGTGGACACTCTTGCATGCGACAAGGACGAATGGAGACGTTGATGGAGCCAGCTAGAACAATTCGATGATCAACGGGACGACAGGTGGTACAGGTGATGGTTGGAAGGGGTCATCGCGGTACCGCCGCCCGTCTGGGCCGCAAGAATCCTATTCCTTACAGGAAAAGTTTCGGGGTGGGAGAACTGACCTTCTTGACAAAAGAGAAATGAATTAGTGTTAACTTCCTCAAGAAAGACTACATACATTCAAAAGTGTTTGTTGTCCTCACAACTTACACTAGAGCCCTTTAACACTTTTTTCGCGGCTCAAGACATCGAGAGCGTTCATGTGCAATTCATTTCGCATGCATGGCTTCGACTTTTGGTCTGCCACTATCATCGATCAGTGCCCGCGCTCTTGATAGACAATCATGAATTTCGCATCGATGGCATTTGAGCACATCGCCGAGAAGTTCTGCGAAGAAAACTGCTGCTTCAATCAACAATACAGTGAGACAAAGAATGACCGAATAACCGATAGATCACCCTCATAGATAGTCATTACAATAGGTAAACATGTGCCTTCATAATATTGATAGCTACATTGTGTTCATTCCACTTTGTTCACTATGTCCCTACCATTCCCCCTTTCAAATCGATACCATTGCTGACTTCACTATTTACGAGTACTTGAATAATAACGTTTACTCAGATTAGGTTGTCTCAAAGCTCCGTCAAATCAATATATCAATTTTCAAAAAAAGCAGCTTCAAAAGCTCAAAAAACTCGGAAAAATTACAGTGTGTCTATGTTGACATGTTCTTCTTTGTTAACGCTTCTTGCCGCAATTCACCTTGTGAATGTTTCAAAATGTTGCTGGGTTATGAACAAAACTTTTGCCTCGAAAGGGACTTGAACGCGCCCCTCTTTCTTACCGGGCAAGAGCGCTACAACGTACGCTACCGGACACCATTTCATCAAAACTCAGCTTTTCATGTTATATTTTTTTCTGAAGCAAGTTTTGCCCACAACCAGCGTTGTTGTAAAACTTTCGCGAGGCGAAGAGCGGCGAAAAACAGCACTTAACAATCAACAAGTCACAATCAATTGATAAGCTTCCAGCCTTACGATTCACCGCCGATACTGGCTAACCGGCTCAACACGTTATGAGCGTAAGCGCTGGCAAGCTATGGTAAGTATACCATGAAGAACTGAGCAGGGATGAAATGGTGCCTCGGTAACATGACTTGTAGCGCACTTGCTCGGTACAAGAGGAGCGTTTTCACAACCATCTGGAATGAATGCTTTGTTCGCCATCCAGCTTTCTTTGAAACAATGTTTTCTCTTAACATGGTTTTTTAAAGACTTACAGCGCTCGTTGGGTTTGTAGTATTACATATGACTTACATACGACGGCGCAGTAATCAAAATGACCATTTGACAATATCGGTCATTCTTTGTAAACTGATAACGTAGCGAATTGGATAAGCGAGGTTGGTCATCGTCTCCCTAAGGGGAGCAGTATTGCACATTTCGGAAAGGCTGTGCAAAAAACAAACCCAAGAGAAATGCTTAACATCGCCGTACAACACAGTCAATAATATTCATTTATATATTATTATTCATAGCACTTCAAATGTATAATGCAGCGTTAAAAATGTTGCTATTCTTGTGAGATGAAAATTTTCCCTCTAGAGTCTCATGTTTACAAGCCATGTTATAATGATCTCTTTCAGCGGGTCAGAAATCTGCTTACAAATCCAAATTTCTCATTTTTTTCCACTCCATTGTAAATATCTCGAATTTCAGGCTAACCAAATGCGAGGTCCGTTCCACAAAAGTTGGCCAAAGCGGCAACTGACTCAAACCCTATGTTCTAATAGAAGGATTCAGTGTATGATTAATCGTGTGTTCAATCACGACTTCTTCTATACACTTCACCAATCGGTTCTTCAGAAATCCAAGTCTCTCTCCCTTACGGATTTCGTTCTTTCGGAGTGATCGCTCAGCCGAAGCGGTTCTCTGGATTTGAATTCCCCCTGAGCCGTATCTTTTTACACAATGTCGTTTCCCTTTCAAACGTTTTTTTTTAGACTTTCTAGGCGTTTTCGTTGTAAACTGGATCTCCGTCATATGGTGCCCAGTCAACGAGAATGGCTACCTCACGTCAAGAAAAAATTGCCCCAACGAAGGCAGAACCAGCTGGACCGACTTAAATCCTTCAACGATGAATCATTAGGTTAGATTTGACTGGAGAGGGGTCAACCACTCAGTTCTGGAAGAAGATAATGACATGGCTTTTTGGACAGCTCAGTAGGGGGATGTTCAAAAAAAACTCGTGATTGAGTATGCGGTACATCAGGCATTAATTTTTCCTTATGGAACCGAGGGTTGGAATCAGTTGCTGGTTTGGCCGGTTTTGTCTACCGGACCCACTTCACACGAATGCAATGGAATTCAGCCACTTCACGCCGATTGTGAGAAAGAAACTTCTCCAAAAGACACACAACATAATGAAATAAGAGTTTGTAGCAAATTTTCATATTAACAAAAACGACATAGTCCAGTATTATGTTTACGCACACCAACAAAAACGTTCAAAAGCGCTGTGAAACGGGTCCTTTTGCACTCATCCTATAGCTTTCTTTGGAGATTTTTTCAAATTACGTTGTAGTAGTCTCACTCAACACCAAGCGTTCGCACTCTGACAACTGACGGAACATCTTGTTCCTTACATCAAAGCGCGAACAAAGAATGCGGGCAGGTGCAGCGGAACGCAAGCACTACAAAGAACGAGGAAAGCCGTGAAACTTTTTGGAGTGAAAAGAAGGATGTGTTGCGTAGAAATCAGACCAATGTTGAGAGCTCGAAGGAAAACTCGATTGCTCCATCTCAGATAAAAGGAGTACCTGCACGTTGAATCCTTTTGTGCAGAGCTGTTTCACGGCAGCTGGACTCAGTGCAACACGTCGCTCACCTGACATAGTACATTGTTACAAGGAGCACTCACCTAACAAGAGGAGGTCTTTCAGTGCAAGCCGCGCTTCAAATGTTCCTCGCATATTGTAGAGACGCATCCACAAAACCATGTTTCGTTTTCGCTAAACGGTTCTAGCACTACCAAAAATGTGGTGAATGATACCTTTATGGTTCGATCCCTTACGTCGACTTAATTTTGCAATCAAGGTTGGCGGCCACTTTTTGGCTCCAAAACGGCCCTGGCGATGAATATGACATCTGATTGTGATATTCAGCGCGATTTGGCAACAATCGGTGGGCGCCAACCCAAATGCAAAATTTAGTCGCCGCGGGGGATCGAGCCATTAGGAGTATCTTTATACTACTGGAACCATTCAGCGAAAACAAAGCATGGTTTTGTGTTCCCTACATGGGTTCCTATAATATGCGAAAAACCGTTTTGAAAAAGCGTGGCTTGCCCTGAATGACCCCCCCCCCCTTGTGAGAATACGAGATTAGGATTGGCGTTCAATCGAATGCAATTCTCTCCATTCTCTATCGAATTCTCGAATGGTTTCGATTTAGCAGCTCACAGTAAGAAGGGATGCTGATTTAGTGAGGAAGGACATCTTAGCATAGGAACGTTGAAGGCACTTGAAACCATGAAAAAGTTTCAGGTGCAAAATGAAATACTTTAGACAATTTGGTTATGCGGGTCAGGATTAAGTTAACGCTCAATCTGGTTTATGTCCAGAGGGGAGGGCTCCGTAATGCGTAGGTAATTTCGATTTTTCTCAGATTCATACAACTCCTGGATTTAGTGAAAGTGAAGAGCAGTGAAATCAAATTGTCTCACCCAATTAATTGTGCGCCCAAATTTTGTTTTATTATAGACTCAAAACCTGAATTCTCTGTTTCTTACACATTTGCGTGGTACTCTATTGGCTATAATATAGCGTATCTATACGTGATCAAATAATGACGAAAAAAGTAAATAAATAAGTAAGTGAGATTTATAAAGTAACTTACAAGATCAAGAACTCGGAAAAAATCTATTCGGAAACAAAAAAAGTTTTGAAATTCTCGCAGAAAGAATATTGAAGTTTGGCATTAATGCTAATTATTTCTCAGAAGCGTTTGAAGCGAAATGGTTCACATAGCCAAGAGTCCCTCAACTAGGAAAAATTTTCAATTAACGGAAATACCCAAACACGTAGTTGGGCTCCTTTGCGGTAAATTTTCATCGAATGGCACTATTTCCACTGTAGTACTTGCCTTTTATCCTCCAATACTCACCTTCGAATGTCTCCTTCAGAGCTGAGACTGTCAATTTGTTAAGAGCGACACCTTCAGCTTGGGTGCAGAATAAGCGTCCCACAGACGAGCCATTCAGTCGGAAATATCTCAGTCGATGCATAGCTAATCAGATCAGATCCACCGAGTAGCCACCACCACGGAGGAACTTTGGTGGCACTTTGCTAGTGATGAAGCGATCAATGCCCCGTGCAGCACCCGCCCTCTGTGCTGACCGATGCTCTACTAAAACATCACGACACATCACACACAGAAGAAAAAACCGATTTACAATGTAGTTCGATACGTGAGAAATTTCAAGGACATCGGAGGTGACAACCACTTAAAACGAAAGTGACACTAATGACTATTAGAATCATTGTAGGTACAGCCTCAGTACTATAGGACGCGTCTTTGATCTTTTCATGACAATCAATTGATATCAGCGATGATTTATCAGTCGCTGACCGGATATCTCTTCCATTGGAGTGATCCAGACGGTTTTTCACGCTCTTCGCTTTTTCACGGCGACGAAAGTTGATCGCCGTTCAACTCATTGTAACCACGTGCTCCTACATCATGTACAGTTTTTGCTGATGCACTCAGAGGAACAAAAGCTATCTCAGTTCACGACAGCTGACGCCTACTCAAAAAATGAACATGCTTGTCATATTTGCTATTGATAAAGTGGGCGAGCTGAGTGTGATGCTTTGGAAGAACTTCCAGTCAAGAACATCACCATATTGAGCTTTTTAAATCATACTCAACGCTTATCAACACGTAACACTCATTGACGCGAACACTCGCAATGCTAGCAAGAGATGCTGTTCCGCTGGTTCGCTGCCATTTTCGATTAGCCAGAAGATCATGTGATACAGGGGAGGAAAATGGGAAAGTTCTGGTTTCACCAATAAAAAGATAAGAGAACGATTAAATTGTTGTTTCTTTACAGCATCTGCAAAAAGTAATGCCCAAATTCGACGTGAAATGAATCATGGCGTATTGATAAACCAGAATGTCGGCTTTGGGAATTGTTTTCTCGCTTGCACTACGGCAAAACTGTTCCAATGATTCGCTGACTTTCAAAGAAGTTTCCGTAGCTACCAGGGTGATAGTACCCTACACACTGCGCAACAAGAGAGTAACAAGATCAAGAGAAGCCTAAAGTGAGACATATTTTCAAAAATAAGTGTCAAATGATGGCATAGCCTATTCAAAAAACTTTACAGCCTCTATAAGAGTCCCCATAGAGAATAACGTGACATGGCCCTACTCAGAATGGAATCATCGGCGTAGTCTTAAACGTAGGTAGCAGTGAATCTCAAAGTTGTTGCTTATAATGGTAACAGTGCAGTAATCGATAGGGTTGAGAAATTATCTAAGGAGCTGATGAGCCATTGGTGTAGGTTGGAGGTGCGGTTGCAAGGTAACGGCCAACAACATCGGAATAGAAGCTTTCTCGTTTTCGTCTCCCATGAATAGCTATTGAATCAATCGATTAATCAAACAATTATACGTTAAGTGTATGACTCGGCAGGCACAGACAGCCAAAAATACAGAAAACTGAATGTTTATGGTAAAAGTAATCGGATAAAATGCAGCACCTAGACGATAAGAATCACTCGACTGGGGTCTCGGTACCTGCACACCGTGACAGAAATCCACAACACCCTTCGTTATGGGTTGAGCTTCGACTTCCCTTCCCAAAAAGCTTTGTCCGGCTAGTTATGGCACTATGCGAGTTTCCACAAATTATTAAATCGACGAAGGGATGCCTCCACAGCAATACAAACTCAAAATTTATATAAAAATTTGAACAAAATCAAAAATATTCACTGTCAATAATAGCCGGATCGGGTCGAAGTACTACTTGACGGTTTTCCAGTTTAAGAACTTTCAGCAAGCCTTTAAGGCTCCATTTCGTATCCGACAAGTAAACTTAAATTTGGTTCACAACATTTAGCGTTACCGTGGGAACATCGTGGGAAATATTCCCACGAATTCATAATGGTCCGTTTCGGGTGATAACCATGAAATTTGCGTTTTTCGCGAATGTAAGGAATTTTCTTCCTACCCTAGCGATTACATAAAATAGCAATTCCAAAACTTCAGCTAGAATTGAAAAAGTCACTCACATCTGAGGTTACTTTTTCTATGTAACCCAGTTGAGGTCAAAGTTCCATATTGAACTGATGGAGCAACATGCCCCAGATTTCTCAAGTTGATGGAATTCTCAATTCAAGACCTTTCTGACCTTGCCGACCTTTGGCGTTCTCTTGTAGGTAAGATCGTATCATAATAAAATAATACTACTAAGAATAATATTACTACATTTTATGTTGCATATTATTATTGTTTAATGGAGCATCATAATCATTGCCACAAGAGCACTTAGGTGTACATGAGTGCAAGAGAATTCTCACCCTTTCTTCAAAGAACATCTTCGCATGAATTTTGTTTTACTGCCACTCGTTTTTGATGATGACGAAAAATAAACTTTGAAAATCGTTGACATCTGTTGACAACAATACTGGGTTATGGACAAAACTTTCGCCCTAGGCGATACTCAAACCCGCACCTCTCGCTTACTGCGCTTATGCGTTAGTGGTTAGGGTAGCGAGGCAACATTCCCCCCCCCCTAACACAACTTTTCATGGTTTATTTTCCACAACTTATCAACCCGCGCACGTGTAACGTGTTGAGCCCTTTCGCTAGAATGAGCACAGAACCACAGGGCGGAAAACTTTAGCAATTGGTTACAAACTTAATTCTTGCGGTATCAATTGCTCCTTCAAGCGAATCAGATTTATGCCTGAAATACTCACATATACATAGATTAATCTCATGTTTCGGCAGGAATATTATTGAAGACGGAGTTTTTCACATTCAAAGTCTGAATGATGAGATTTAGGCATAGGTATGACTGGTAAATTTTTCACAGGATTTTTCTACATAGCTCTGTGGCAGCAACTGACCTCCTAGTTGGCCACTGAATTCCAAAAATTTACTCCTACCACTCTGCACTTACGTAATCGATGAAATAGAATGTGCATCACAGTCATTCGTGCGATTACAAAAATATAGAGAAGCGCGATTCAGATGTTTCCAATCGATGCCATATGGACATTCCACATGGAAAAAAGTGAATTTGCACACATCAGCGTGGCATTTAAAGCAAATATAATAATGCCATATTCTTTGAAGTCGACCACTTGATTTGCGCTACTGTAATTCAATCTACTGAAACGCGTATTTCTAAAAGCTGACGCTTTGGAAGGTTTTTTGACAGGAACAAAGGATAAGGACTGAAAAGAGGTCGAACGATTCCTTCCCCTTTTGAAGCCTTTAGAGCGAATCGTACACAGTTGTGTAGTTTCAGCCCCCCCCATCTCATCGAATACCATCGCGATTGGAGTCCTTCGTCGATGTGTTATGAGCTCGTCATTATCATGATTCCGGGATGGCGATAGTGAAGTGGATTGAAGAAATGATGACTCAATGAAATGGCGCGATCTGTGGGATCAGATATTGCCAAGATTCCAACCGGCATGAAGGACTGGAATGATGGATAATTGGAAGGTGCATGAAACCCGAACTCTCAACCCTAAACACGATTCTATTGTGGACGCACCCTCTACAGTGAACAAGGTAACGGATTGCAAGTGGTTGAATCAACTGCTGTGAAGAGACTCAACAATCTTTGGCAGTGTTTGCATGCGAGCCCAACGTGTGGTTGTGCTAGATGACTTTGAACATTGTTTGGAACGGTAAGAACACTTAGCACTGTTTGTTCAATACATGCCGTGACCTTCCTGCTCATTTCCGTCCCAGGAGGAGTCTAACTTGAACGGCCGCTCGCTAGGATTGTTTTACTGCGCCACTATACTGCTCCGCGTAATTATGCATCTACCCATTATTTGTAAAAACTCGAACGTCACGACTTTCCTAAAAAAAGATTCTGAGTGTAAAATGTGTCAAATTCAACGGCGAATCTTCACACCACTACCCAATTTCTTATGATCAGTCAGAATGATTTATTGGACAACGAAACAACAAAAAAGAAGTCTTAAGATCAATAGTCTGGTGGGCCTTTATTTCTCCTATCAAGTTGGAAAATATGATCGACTATGATCAAATAAAGGTTGTCGTTGAGTTTTTGACCATATGACGCGCCACGCTTCACGATGGCCTTCTTGAGCTCACCCACTTCTCAAAACTGCGTTTTCGCGTAGATCTTTGATCATGAGGCCCCATATGTTCTCCATTGAATTGAGATCGGGGCTATTCGCTACCAGTCTATGAGGTCATTTGATGGCGACCTCGGCTTGGCTGCTCTGACTGACATGAATCGACGCGTTGTCTTGATTATTTAATTATTCATGCGTGCAGCTGACGCGCCTCTAAAGAAATCAACTATAGGAAACACTGTGGTCAGTCAATGAGGACGGTAGCCCTACTATCTTTACGGAACTATTAAAAACTATAAGTATGAAAGGACTCCTGCAACCCTATTCCCTTTCCTGCATTCAAAGAGATAGTAGCACGAGGAAGAAATTAGCACTGCTGATCCTCGACGAGGAACCAAAGAAAACCCCTCCGAACTTGGGTGACTTTGAGTGAAATTCAGGTACCTTACCTGCACCGGTCGGCAATGGTGCCCATAGCACTACCATAGGTGCAATGGGAAGCTTGCCCGAACTTAACTAACTATAACTTCAGACGCCCAATTGATCTTATGACTCCGCCTCCTTTCAAGTTACGTCTTGGAAAGTGAAGAATTCCTTTCTTGAGGCCATGCCAGTAGAAGCGATTGCCGTCCGGTCCGTCGCGGATGAATGTTCTTGTGGGAGAAAACAACTTCAAGAAGAATACCATTACGAGAAAGGAGGGCAAACGTCAGTGTTTGAGAGGTACCTTACTTCAGTTGGTCGGCCGTACTTTTTGGCAAACTCCAACCGGTTTTCACGATGATTCGTGTCAGGAACGGCGACTTCCTCACTTTACATAAAGGATGAATTTGGGCTTTTTAATGACCCGTTAAACTGTATCCGCTGACACTTCAAGTTTCAGAGAAGTCTTGATTTCCGCGCATGTCTTGATAGAAGCTTTTCGTAAAATAGTCGC